ACAGTGAACACGACTCCAAATGTGGTCTGCTGCAGGATGCAGGTGGCTGTGCTGGGCCGGCCAATGAAGAGCAAGGAGCAGAGGAAGCAGCAGGTGAGGGAGATAAGCAGGGTGTAGCTGAGAGCCCGATTGTTGGCCTTGACGATGGGAGTGTGTCGGTGCTTCACAAAAAGCCCAAGAACAGCAGCTGTGAGGACAGCGAGACTCAGGGTGGTGCCAGCCAGAGCCTTCCCCAAGGGATCTTCATAAGCCAGAAACGTCACAGCTTTTTGGAGGCAGCGGTTTTTCTCAGTGTTGGCGTACTGATGATCTGGACATGTTACACAATGATTCATATCTAGCAAAAATTAAAATTGTCACTAGTCTACCTTTATTATTTCTTTTTCACAAACCCATACCCAGAAACTTATTGTAGTTGAACTAAATTATCACTTTTTAAATTTTTTCTTTTCTTTCTCTTTCTCTTTCATTTTCAGTACTTGAGATTAAACTCAGAAACTGTTCACTGAGAACTATTACCAAGTATTTTAAATTTTATTAGTTTGAGAAAGGATCTCCTTAATCACCTTATTGTCAAGGGTCCCATCATACTTAAAACTCTCTTGCCTCAACCTATAGTGCTGCATCACATACCTAACTGTTCCATTTCTTTCTAGACACAAAATAAAATGATAGGACGATCATGCCCCAGGCGCATGGGCGCACACAATCCTTGGGGGGCAGATCTACCAGAACCCTGAAACCTAGGACAAAAGGAGCCAAGCACAAAGGCACACACATGCTTTTGTCAGGAGGACCATTTGCACACTGAGGACAGTCATGACAGCAGGACATTGGGTATGCAGACAAACATGCTTTTGGAGGGTGGAGTAATTAGCAAGATCAGCAACTTGAATTGTCTGAAACAGCAGGGAGGAGCCAACAGGGGCTCGGGAGGACTCTACCAACATAAGACCACTCCCAGCCCCCACATCAAGAGACCAAGGTCAGCAACATAGCCAGCATATTTCTAGATTCTAACATGGACGCTATCACAGAACTGTAAACACCAGGGGTATTTCATGACTTTTTTTCTCCCTTGTTTTTTTGATTAGCTATCCTTTTCCTGTCTGGTTAGATATCGTGTTGTTTTGTTTTGTTTTTTGTGGTTGTTTTTGTTTTCATGCTTTTTTTCCTGCCCCTTCCTCTGGTCTCCTTTTTTCCTTTCTTCCTTTTCTTCTTTTCTTTTTCATCCTCCTTCACTTTTTTCCTTCTTTTTTCACTGTCTAGGTTTCCTATGTGTGTTTTTTCTTTTTCTTCTATTGATCCTCTTTCTTTTTTTTTTTTTTTTTTTTTTTTTTTTTTTTTTTTTTTTTTTCTTTTTTTTTTTTTTTTTTTTTTTTTTTTTTTTGGTTTTGGTTTTTCTCCGGTACCGGGAACTGAACTCATGACCTTGCGCTTGCCAGGCAGGCGCTTTTGCCACTGAGCTAAATCCCCAGCCCCGATCCTCTTTCTTTCTTTCCTCAACTACTTCTTCAATTTAAACTTTCAAATGAGTAAATATTGTCTCTTCCCTTTCTGATTACTCCTTTGTATTTTATTTCAAGCTTTCTCTCCTCTGTCCTCCAGTTTCCCTAAACTCAAGTGATCATTCTTTGACCTCCAGCCTTCACTCTACTGTATTTGATTTCATTCATCATTCTATCCTGTTTCCTACCAATCTTAACCCTATTGCCCCACACGGTAGGATAAAATCACTCCACTAAGGTGAAAATAATTGCATACAAGTACATGGTATATGTTTGATTTTGTTATATAACTATAAAGGTTGCTCCTGTGGTCAGAGGTAGCTGGTTAATGGTTAACGTAGTTTGTCAGTAGTTAAACTGTACTTGAAACTACTGTTATTACTGACTGTTCTACTTTAGCCATGATGTCACAGATGTTATAATCAGTTTTTCTCCCTGTATGATGACACTGTGGTTATATGAGATCATAATTATCACCACAACTTGGTACCAAGGGACTGGGTGCAGAGCCAAACAATAACTTTGCATCCTTTATAAATTGGGAGGGTACATTTTTGGGATAAGTGGAAAGAACCACCTACATTTAGAGGACATCCCTGAAGAACAGACATCTCTTAGGGAAGCCTCAGTACTAGTGATAAAACTGTCATAAGAAACTGGCAAGCATCAACATAGAGAACAAAATAAAGTGAAACAGAGAAAATACAAACTGACAATATGCAGAAGCAAAATGCACTCCTGACCTCCAGCCCACCTAGGAAAAGCCCAGACTCATTCAGATAGAAGAAATTGGAAATCAAGCACTGGAACTTTCTGAAATGGTAGCAACAGAAGTAAAAAAAGAAGTGGAAAAGTCTAGGGAGAAAATAACCTCTCAGGCACAAAAATAAACAAGGCTTAAAATCAAAGATATTAGAGAAGACACAGATAAAAGAATAGATGAGGGCTAGTAGTATAGCTCAGTTGTCCAAGTACCTGCCAGCATTACTGCACAAGATCCCGAGTTCTATTCCCAATACCAAAAAAAAGAATAGATGAGCTTAGAAATTGATGGAAACAAAACATTCTCAACATAGGAAAGAAATGGAATCTATGCAACAGTTCTAAACAGAAGTCCAAGGAATTAAAGCTTCTTTGAAAGTATTTGCAACAGATTTAAGTAGAAGATAGAATTTCAGATCTTGAACGCTGAATTACAATTAGTGATCACGAAAAGAAAGACATCTTAAAAATAGTAAGAAGACCTGAAAAAATCAATCCAACAGCTACAAGATGAAGCAAAGAAGAATAATATAAGATTGATTGGGGTCATTGAGAAAGCTGGAGACAACACAAGTGACATAACAACTTTTCACAGAAATAATGGCAGAAAACATCCCAAGCATGGATAAAGAACTTGATATACAAATAAATGAAGCATACAGAACTACAAACAGCCATGACCAAAATAAAACTGCACCAAGACATATAACAATAAAGATTCCAGAAATTTAGCACAAAAGCAGAATATTAAAAGTGGTTAGAGAAAAGAAACAGATCACCTATAAAGGAAAGACTATGAGAATCATGATAGTCTTCTCAACACACACCATTAAGTCAAGAAAAACTTCGAGTGAAGGACCTCAAATCCCAAAAGAAAACAATTTCCAAATTAGATTGATGTACCCTGCAAAACTATCTTTCAAAATTAATGGTGATACCGGAGAAAAACCAAAAAAAAAAAAAAAAAAAAAAAAAAAATCTTTCAAAATTAATGGTGAAATAAGATACTTCCATGACAAAGAACAACTGAAGAAATTCATGAACACTAAACCAACCCCACAGGCTGGGCATGGCAGCACATGCCTGTAATCGCAGTACTCAGGGGGTTGAGGCAGAAGGCTCAGGAGGATCATTACAAGTTCGAGACCAGCCTAGGCTACAAAGTGAGCTCAAGACAAGCATGAACTCCATGGCCAGACCCTGTCTCAAAAAGGCAAAAAATAAACAAACACAAGAAAGCCAACCTTACAAAGACTACTAAAAGATATTCTAGACAGAGATAAAAATTACTACAATTCCAAGAACAAAGGAAAGAAACTACCAGGGAGGGCAAGCAGTTAAACAGAGGGAAAAAGCAGGGAACCAACATCAGGAAAATAACATGACAAAGAAGCCAGTACATATCAGTTATAACCATCAATGTAAATGGTCTCAATTCACCAATCAAAATAAGCAGACTGGCAGAGTAGATTAAGAAACAAAATCCAACAATATACTGCATACAAGAAAAACATTTAATTTAAAAACATATTCATAGACTGAAAGTCAAAAGATGGAGAACAGTCTTTCATGCAACAGGAACTCAGGAAAATCAGGAGTAGCTATTCTATTTGCCAAAAATATGAACTTCAAACCAAGGATGATCAAAATAGATAAAGAAAGTCACTACTTACTTCTTAGGGGTAAATTTCAAGAGAAAGAGACAACATTCATAAATATGTATGCACCAAAGATGGAAGCACCCAACTATATAAGAATTATTAATAGACAAGAAAAAGCAAATAAGCAGTAACACAATTGTAACAGGACAATGTAATGCCCCACTGTTACAAAGAGATAGATCAACTAGACAAAAAATCACCAAGGAAATATCAGAACTGAACGAAACCTGTGAACAAATGGACCTAGTAGATGTTTTCAAACTGTTCCACCCAACATCATCAAAATACACATTATTCTGAGCTGCATATGGAACATTCTCTAAAATGGACCATGTACTAGCCCCAGAACATGCTTAAATAAATGCAAAGGATTTTAAATTATCCCATACTTATTATCCAACCATAGTGCAATGAAATTGGAAATTAATGGCAAAAGAAACTGCAAAAACTCAATAAACACATGGAAATTAAATAACACCCTCCTAAACAATCAAGAGAGTCACATATGAAATTAAGAAGAGATTTTAAAATATCTACAACTAAACGAGGATGCAGATACAACATAACAAAACATATGGGACTCAAGGAAAGCAGCCATAAGAGGAAAATCTACAGCAGTGCAGTCTCACATCAGGAAAACAGAAGGAGCACAAATAAACAACTTATTGCTGTACCTCAACCTTCTAGAAAAAGAAGAGCAAGCAAACCCAAAGCTCATACAAGGGAGGAAATTATAAAGATCAGAGCAGAAATTAATGCAATTGAGACTAAGAAAATAATACAAAGAATTAATGTGTTGAAGAGTTGGTTCTTTGAAAGAATAAATAAAATTGATAAACCCTTATGCAATCTTATTTTTAAAACTTATACCAGCCACAACAACAAATTAGAAATTTTTCAGAAGGGAGGTGATCCCACCATGTCATAATTCACAAGAAATATAAATATTTCCAAAGTGTTACTTATGGTGTGTAACAGTCTCCAGTATTAGAGTTCTGTAAATTTCACAAAACACATTTCAACCCACATTCTCATATTATCTGCATTTTAATAACATAGCATTTCCCTTATGGATATTTGAATGTTCCATGAATAGTGAATATACCATTTTGATCACTTCTAATTAATCCCAACAAGGATTTATTCCACTTCTTTTCATTCTGATATAATACTAATGCTATCTCCTCTTTGAAAATGCCCATGACACTCTCCCCCCCTCCTCCTGAAATGTAGATATTGTCACATGTTAAATCCCTTATTCTGTGTGCATATCATCCTTGCAATTCTTTAGCATGGACTAATTCATGCTATAGGCTGTCACCCCACTCACCTATGCATTCTAGGAGAACCGGGATGAAATCATAGGATTTGAGATTGTGCCATTCTCTAAGTATGTTGTACAGCAAAGGCATCCCCATATCTCCAACCAAACTCAGTCTCTCTGAGCACCTGCTTTGTTTTAACAATAGTGTCAGGCCCTGGAAAAATGAAGTATGCCCAGCCCTTGTCTTGAGTGTAATCTTGCTGTGTTTCCAAAGAATGTAAAGAGTTGGCTTAAATCATACTGTATGTTAAACCTCATGATGGAAATAGAACTTAGGTAGCTTTGGGGTAGGGGAAGAACTTGTCTTGAGAATATAATGCTTTTAATGGGACTAGAAAAATAAATCAGTGTGGGTAAGTGTGGTGGTGCATAACTGTTATCAGAGGGAATCAATGGACTGAGACTAGTCTATCACAACTTTGAAGCAGTTTGAGGAACATTAGTGATACTCTCTCTAAATAACAAATAAGAGTAATATGGACATATATTATTGATAAAGAACACTCTGGTTCAATCCCCAGCAATGCAAAAAATGGTGAACAAGAATGAGATAAAAGGAGTTGGGGATGTAGCTCAATGGTAGAGTGTTTGCCTAGCATGCACAAGACCCTGAGTTCAATCCCCAATATCACCCAAAAAAGAAAAAGAATGAGATAAAAGGAAAATGAATCAGAGTACAGTTGAAAAGGAAAAGTGAGTTTTCAAAGTGGGCAATAGCACTCAGTACAACAAAAAATTTGGTAATTGAAGTATTTGGTTAATAATATCCCTTCATTATTGCAGACTGATCAGGTCCACAATTTCCCAAATGAGTGTATAGCAAAGGCTAAATAAAAAGAAGCAAATGGAATAATTTCAGGGCTCCAGGAAGATCAAAGCCCTCAGGACTAAGACCAAGACCTTCCCTAGGTGGCCCATACTTATTTTATTATCAGAAGAAGGGAGGGGAGTACTCAAGAAGGGTGGAATTACTCAAGGACTTCTCCAAGTAAGATATTAAATTAATCCTTAAAAAGGATTAAGTTAATCCACCCAAGAGTGAGATGCCTGAGGCTATAGTCTTTATCTAGTTGAGATTGGATCCAAGTGTCCTTGGGTGTGATTTTGTCTTATTCTCTGGGGCTTTCCAGCTTCATCTGCCATTATAGGTTTTAGTAGGGATTAGCGACTCACAGAGGTTCACTTGCTATAAGTCTGTTGCCCACTTCCAGACAAGTGTCCTAGGCTTTGGACAGATTCATAAGTAAACATAAAAAGTCAGTTGGTTAATTTAAGTCCTACTCAGGGCTGCTTCATAGTGATCTCCATCAGTGAAGGCGGAATTTTTCATCAGTATCATTTACAAGATGTTTTCCACTTTGTAGATGGAGGGAGTGAATATAACATAGAGTGAGAATTTGTCTAGAAGGCAAGCTTTTACCTGTGTCATTGGCAATCTCATTGTCTGCACAAGGGGTGCAATCAAAACAGCAGGCAGCCTTTCCCTCCTGAGGGCTTTTCCTAAATCCAGGACTGCAACTCTCACTGCATACCGAGCGGGGAGTCTAAGGAAAAAATATTTGGAGGTAACTTCTTTGACTTTCACTTACTTGTTTGGAGTGAGAGGAATAAACTTAATTTTTATACATACATAAGCAAAACTATATAATTGCATGCCAAATTTATTTCATAGTATGAAACACATATTTAAAAATATAATTAAGTAAATGCATTTCTTTCCCTCATCAGAAAGTGTGTAAACAAGATTTTTCAAACTGTAAATTGAGTTGATCAATTTCCACATGGGGCTATTCTATGAGGAAAAATTGGAAGCGCAAACCTATGACAATATTTAGCTTACTTGGGTTAAGGAAGTGCATAATGATTATGTCCAACACACCTCTGTAATTTCTGTGGCCCACTCTATCATGTCCTCAGATAAAATCATTTTTTGGCCATGTGGAGCATGTGAACAAAACGTTCCCAGTTTAACCTTTTGTCTAAGGCCTTCTGGAAAATTCCAAAAATTGAGAATATCATACTCTGAATCTGGCATCCTTCTGTCATCCAAGTTCACTTGGTCTCCAGCAGGATTGTTAAATTGGATGTTCTTCAGAAAGCGATGTAGCTAAAAGAGACACATCATCCTATGTAAACAGCACTCCATGAGTAATACAGAAAATATGGATGGGAGAAAGTTCCTAAGTGTCATTAATCCCTTTTATGTGAACCAACTTGGACACTGCTGTCTACTAAATTAGATCACATGAATGTCTAAGGACTAAAATGTCACCATGTTCAAGAAATGTCAATTTTAGGGAAAAAATATTCTATGTAAGCTCATTTTTAAAAGGTACACAGTTGTGTTAGACAAAAACATCAACTGTGAAATAAAAGCTTTTAAAACCCACAACTTTCATTGTCTATCTGACTATTCCCATAGCATCTAGCAACAAAATGAGTTCATCAATATAAGAGTTTGTAGAATTAATAAAAAATTCATATAATATGTTCATTGCTGGGTTTAACCTCATTTAATTTTGAGTGACTACAGGTTTTCTAGTTGTCCTTTAAGAACTTCATAAGACCTTTTTAGGTGGACAAGACATTTAAATCCTGTACACAGAAGCAAGGAGCTGGCCTCCTGTTTCCTCCTCCCTGCCAGTGGCTCCTTGACTGAGGATCATTTCAACTCAGCTCAAGAATTACTTCCTCAACAATAAGTGTGATACACAATGCCTAGTATTTTTATAGGAATGATTCTAATATTCTTGGATGAAACATAGAGAATAATTAAGAAAGGTGCCATGATGTTGTTGCATGCCATCCAAGGGAAGACACATTACCTGCCAGGGGGGAAACATCCTCACTTGTCTGTTTCTCATTGGCGGCCTTTGTACTTCTTCGGAAAGCATCGCATGAAGGGCATGGGCCACAGCATACACAGCATTGTATATATTGTAGCTCCTGTCAGTCATGACTGCGTCAAAACGATTTGGAGGCAACCAAGCCACAGAGGCATTAGGTGTGCAGTTCTTCAAGGAGCAGTCAGTCTCAGAGAATGAGCAATGGAAGTTCTTGGACCAATATATAATAAGGTAAGTGTCTTCTGGGTATTTGAAAGGGGTAACTGCCTGGACAAAATTTTTGAAACCTGAAATCTCTTTGCGGTGGTGTGAGAAAACAAGAGTCCCATGGAATGGGTCAAGGATGAAATCTCTCCCAGACAGGTCAGCATGCCATTGTGAGTTTGTCACCCAGACTTTCCATGTCACTAAGTTCTGCACTATGTTGTAGTTTACACCATGAGTACTATCAGTATCATAGTAAACAACCACCACATTGACTGATGATGTATCTGCAGTCAGGATATCGTGTTTCTTCGTAGCTGAGAGATATGACACAGCCACAGTTGACACCATTTTCACAAAGGCTGCACAGACTCTGTTCCTGTCCATCTCAGCTCTTATATCTGAGAGAAACTGAAGACCCTTGTGGCCTTCTGTGATGAGCAGGCCCACCCAGGTCCAGTGGAAATGAAGCATCAAGGACACCATGCCAAGGGCCAAATGCGTGTCCTTTGGGGCCACCTGATAGAGAGAAGGATACTGGCCACTGTCAGTAAGCACAGGATCAAATGAGCCAAAGGTAACCTAAAGGAAAAAAAAAAAACACTGAAGAATGTTGACAGAAAGCACAGTAGTTGACCTGAAACATACTTAGCAACAGTTGGCAGTTGTAGATAGAGACATCTGTTCTGGCCTTTCTTCTAATCATCTCACTCCTTAAACACTTTTATAAAATGTAAGAGCAGAGTCAGACATTCAGACCATATCTTTGCTTTCTGTCTTCAAAAAGAAAAAAAAAATTGTGAGTAACTCACTCTCTATGTACAGATTCTAATGCATTATACAATTTGAAAGATGCATATCCCAGGCTCATTTTTAACCCTTTATGCTCCTGGTAGTTGAGGCACCATGGATGTGCTTCCACCATTTCCTGTCCCACCAACCCTCACCTGTGGAAATCTGTAGAGTTCCAGCAGTGGTCCGATCTGATCCGAGGTGCCCCATGACATTTCTGTCAGTACTGCTGCACACTTGCTTTCTCTCCTACATGTGTAATTAGGGATCTCTTGCTGTCCTGTGAGCAAAATGAAGGAATTCTCTAGTATCCTCCAATGACTGTAAATGAAAGTATGGAACTCATAGCCCAGAGAAATATTGGGTAAAAGATGAGGATTCCTGTTGATCTCTTCTATGGCAAAAGTGAAGACCAGGTAGTTCTGGTAGTTGTTGGGCATAAGCCTGCAGAGAGAGCACAGAGGTCTTAGGCAAAAGACTTGATGATCATCTTCCAATCCAGGTTCAATACCATTTATGACCTGAATGCTTGTGTTCTTCCCCCATATTCAGACCATCATAACATCAGCATGAATGTAATGATATGGAATTTTAATTTTTTGAAGGTAATTACGATTAGATGCATCCTGAAGGTGAATTTCTCATGAAGGCCTTTAGTGGCCTTACAGGACTGAAGGAAGTATTGATTCACAATTGTGCTACATGAGGACCATTGACAAGAGTCGCTCAAAAACTAGGAAGTAGATTCTCTCTTGATTTTTCTCAGCTTGTACAATTATTAAAATAAATGACTGCTGACTTAGCATTTATGGTTGGTCCAGTTGCTGGTTCATTTTATGCAGCAGGTTGAGAAAAGCAAAATCATAACTAAAGATAAATAATAAGTACATTTAATTCCTCTTTGGAAGAACAGAGTCCTATGAAGTCTTAAAATTTATAGTTCATGAAACTAAATTAACATGTCTTTAGAAGGACCCTTTACACCTCCACATATCTGGTGGAAATTTTTAAAAACAAAGATGCTATTGTGAAGGCTGTAGCTTCCCTCTCAGTGAATTTTTTTGTACATGAGTACAATTTCTCTCTCAGCGAATTTTTTTGTACATGAGTACTATTGATTCCTGAGTGGTTTTTGCATCCTGCTATACTACTGGATTTGGTTACTAAATCAGCAAGTCTTTTCTTGGAATTTTTGGAGTCTTGTATGTAGAATATCATGTCATCCACAAATAACTATAATTTAAATTCTACCTTTCCTATCATTAATCCTTTTATTCCTTTCTCTTGTCTCACTGCTCTAAGTTTCCCGAACTATATTGAATAGGTCCAGTGATAGTGGACATCGTTGTTGCTAATTTTAGAGTGAAAGCTTTCAGTTTTTGACCATTTTGTATAATGTTAGCTGTTGGTTTGACATAATGGCTTTTATCAGATTGAGATAAAGATACCTATTCCAATTTTCTGTAGGGCTTTCATCATGACTGACTTTTTAAGCATCTATTGATATTATCATGTGATTTTTGTCTTTGACTCTGTTAATATGTAGTGGATTGACAACTGGTGGTCAACTTATAACCCCCAGCTGAACTGAGTAAGCATAGTGCTGGGTGTGGGAGGCCCACCTGGGGACTGTTGCCAGCAGCATAAAAGGCAAAACTGGAGAAGAAGAAGTTAGGTTGTTGGAAGCTAACAGAAGCTGTTGAGGAGCTGGTGGAAGCTTGAAGGAGCTGTGGTTCTTTTGGAGGAGCTTGATATGCTGGCTTTCCTGATGAATTTGGCTGTTTTCATCCTTTGAGGAGCTCAGGACCTTGTTAGCACTAAGAATAACTTCGGTTCACTTTGGATGAGCTCTTACCCTCACTCTGAGCATTGCTTCCTGACTCCAGAGGGGAAGATAGCACACTGCCAGTCTCTGAGAGAAGCTTGCTGCATTGGCTTTCCTGATGGGAACTCAACCATCTTGATCATCAGAGGAGCTTGGGACTTTACTGTTGCTGAGGATGGCTGTGGTACTTTTCAGGGGAGCTCTGGTTCTCACTTTGCATATCATTTCCTGGCTCCAGTATAGATCCTTCAGCCTGCTAGCACAGATCCTTCATCCCACTGGTACAGACTTCTTAGATTCCACCACTGACCTTTGGAACTTCCCCACACAGATCCGTGAAACAGGCCTGCGTGAGATGTTGTTATGGGCTTTGGGCCTCCAGGTGGATTCATGGGAGGCTCTAGGTCTTCAGCTGGACTCATGCAGGACATTATTGTGGGATCCATGCCCTCAACTAGATTCCTTGGTCTTAGTGTGTGGACACATTTCCTGCACTCTCTTTGTATATGATTCTTTGGGTGACCATCGTAAAATAATCCTATAAATTATGTGTCCTATATTAAATTTTTCCTCCTGTAAACCCTGACTACAACAGTGAGAGAGATAAACTTTCAATACCTAGGGTTGAAAACTTCAATCCATCTGAAAAATAAAATAAGAATCTCAATACTTTCC